GCAGCCTGCAGAGCCCCACCTCAGAAGAAGCTAGGTCAGGGTCATGGTGAGAGCTTGAGACTTTGTCACAGTTGCAACAACATTGAGAACTAACACTCACAACGCATTTATTATGTGCCAAGCATGGTTCTAAACACTTCATATGAGTTAAATAATTTGAACTTTGCCATACACCTAACTAGGCAAGTACTGTGATTATTATCTTGCAGATGGAAAAATTGAAGCAGAGTAACTTGCTCGAGGTTGCCCAGTTATGTCTTTCTGATGGATTGGGAAATAGCCATCCTGATCCCTGGTAATATTCCTTGTCCCAAAGCCTACTTTGTCTGATTTTAGTAGAGCTACACCAGGCTTTCTTACGCTTGGCATTTGCATGGTCTATCTTTTCCCATCCTTTTACTTTCAACTTGTCTATGTCTTTACATTTAAAGTGCATCTCTTGCAGGCTGCATATAGTTCGGTTTTGCTTTTTTTTATCTAGTCAGGCAATGTCTGTCTTCTAATTGGAGTGTTTAGTCCATTTACATTTAATGTTGTGTTTGATCTACCATCATGCCATTTGTTTTCTTTGTCTCCTCCATTCTTCCTTTCTTGTCTTTGTTTACATTAATCAAGTATTTCAAAATATTCTATATTGTCTCCTCTATTGGCTCTTTAGCTATGTCCTTTTGTATTTTCCCCTATTATTGCTCTAAGAATGATAATATGCATCCTTAACTTACCACCATCTATCTCTAATGAAACCCCTAATTTTTATATGTTCCACTTTTGCATGTTACACATGACACTCTATGCCTGTTTTTCATTTGTTCACTTAATTCGAATTAGGTATTTTATACAAATAGTGTTTCCAAATATAGCACAGGATTCGGCTAGGTGTGCCTTTCTCTGAGCCTTGCAGTAGTTTGGAAAATTTTTCACCTGTTGGTCCATTTTGCCCTTATTTCATAAAGAGAGTAGAAAACAGCATAGGATTCATAAGCTTAATTCAGTTGAGACCCAGAAAGAAATGTCTCGGTAAACAGCAAGCAGGGATTCTAGCCTGAATCTTACTCTATTGTGAAGAGACAACGGAACCAAAGGACAGAGCAGGTACAGAGTGCTGGAGCTCCATTGCTGAAGAGGTGTTTGTTCACAGGTGGGGTGGGAACAGAGTCAGTGCTCCCCCAACCCCCCATTCCCTTAAACACAGGGGACTCTCGTTTGATGTCCTGTTACCCATCTGCTCTTTGGACACGACTTCGGTTCCGCCCTGGGAAGACCAGCATGCACTGGACACCACACAAATGGCGGACTTGCTCTCTAGAGTTGGTCCCAAGGCTGCCTCTTATCAGCTCACTGGCCTTGGAGGGCCCTGAAACTGGGCTAGCCCCCAGTGCGTTTCTGTGAGATATCCCTTCTTGGTGCCCAGGGAGGGCCACTTCACCCTGGCCTGAAGCACCACCCTGGAGGAATCCTGAGAAAGCTGACTCTCATTCTGCAAACATCACACTCAGTCCTCAAAGGCTGACACCTACACTTTCACCACTGAGGCCTCAGCCCACTATTCCAGGGGAAGTAAAGTGAGCCTTCCCTGTACGTATGGAAATCCAGGCCTCCATTTTATGGATGAGGGCACTGAGGCCCAGGGGGGTAAAGTGATTCTTGAGATGGGGTTAGTTGGTCCTGGAGTGGGAGCCTCCCTTTTCCCCTCCCCTCAGCTGTAGCAGCCTCCACACAATCTCATTCACTGCGTGCTCGACCTTGATTTAGACGGTACGTGCACTAATAGGGTGTCTTTTCTCAATTCTCTTCCAGTCCTGATTACTGAAGGACAAAGTCTCAGCTGAGTGCTAATATTTTCAACGCTTTTCACTTGCTGGTCATTTCCAATATGGCAGCTGGCTGGGAACTGGTCTCGAGAAGGGAGGATGGCAAGAGACAGCTCGGGATCCAATGAGGTGGGAAGGGACTCAAGATAAATTTCATGTCATACTCTATCTGGTGGAGGACCCCTTGGCTAACTCTCCCACACAAATGCTCTCTTCCTCCCGAGCTGGTGCCTGGTCCTGTCCCCTTCCCAACCCTGCTTCCTAAGGCTTGGGGGACACAGGGAAGGCATCAGCAAAGGTCTGTCAGCCTCTGTAGGAGGTTGGGTGGGGGAACAAGCCACTGCTCACACCTCCAGTTCCTAGGTATCCGGGGGCCTCCATAGCAACCCTCACAAGAGCAAATCTTCCTTTACAGCTGTGGAACCTGATGCTCAGAGAGGGCAAGTGATTCGCTGGGGGTTGCCCAGCTAAAGGAGGACTACTAGGACAAGGGTGAGGATATGCCTAGATACTGCTCTGGAGTGGGCTTGTTGGGGTTGGCGGTGTCCTTTGGTGAACGGAAAGACCCCAAGCAACAGGCTGGGCCCCAGGAAGCTCATGCAAATGTGGGGATGAGATTGGCCAAAGCACATAGTGCCAAGTGTGTGTGTGTGTGTGTGTGTGTCCCAGTCCCCTCCCCCATCCAGCTCTGCCCCTGCCCCAGTGGGAGGGGGAGGGCCTCTCCCGGCTATGCCAGGAATGCAGCTGCAGCAGGGCTGGGCAGGGGAAAAGGGCAGCCTGCTGCCCAGAGGGTGGGTGGAAGGGTGTGCGCTGCCAGCTGAGGAGGGGGCCTCTCCCCCACCCTCTCCCCCAGGTTCCCCTCCTCCTGGGCAGCACAGGGGCCAGGTGGCACAGAAGTCTTTCCAGAGGCAGCTCCAGCTCAGGAATAGCAAGCTAGGAATCTGCTTCTCCCCAGAGGGGCAAATGAAGGGAGAGGGGGTAGCTGCTCTGTGCCAACAGCTCCTCCCACGACCACAGCCATGAGCCAAGGCAATTGTTTCAAAAAATGTTCACCCAAACTCAGAAGCTCATAGCCCCAGGGCAGGGTTCTGAGCTGGGAAGGCGGTGGGGGCTGGTGGGGAGGGGAGTGAGGACAAAGACTCGAGAAGAATCCTGAGACACACTGTTTCTGTGTCTTTGTCACAGAACCATGTCTCTTTTCCTTTGAAAGCCATGATTTTGAGAACTAGAGCCTGGGACAACCTCGTTTTACAGCTGAGAAGACTGAGGTCAGATGCTCGGCTATGTATGCTAGAGGCAACCTGCACACGAGCCTGTCCCGCTCCAGAACCCATGGTCATAACCCAGGGCCAGGAGGCCGCCTATCAGCTGGTTCAGGACGCCCCCGGCTGTGCATTCCTAGCACAGAGGCTGTGAGGAACCCAGCAGGAACCCAGGGGATGTGGTAGCTGGGGAGGTGGCCTCAGGCACCCCACTATGAGGCTTCAGGGAGATGCGAGTGGGCAGAGAACAGGGGAGAAGGGGCCGAGGCCTAGAGAATGGAGGAAGGCTGGCCACGCACCATGCAGAGAACCTGTATGACCTCAGTCCTCAGGACAGAAGGACAGCAAAGGGCTCTGCCCCGCTCCCCTTTCCTAAAGCAAGGTGGGCTGGTCTTCCACTGGCAGACCCCCCTTAGTACACCCTGTCAGATGCTCCTGACAAGCCCACACTAGACCCGGTGGGAATGTCCTCCATCTTGCTGAGGGAGAAAGGCCTGAGCCGTCTGTGGTCACGCAGTGGCATCTCCTGCCCCTAGCCTGCCTCGTCCACTGCCCTCACAGGGAAAGAGGGCAGCACCCAGCCTGCCTGCCTGGTTTCTCCGGGGGGAGGTGGGGGTGGGTCTTTTTTGAGCACTCCTGAGCTCTTTGGAAGAGTGGCCAGGAGCTCTGGGCAAGGGGGCAAACGGAGAAAACTGAGACCCTGGCCCAGCAGGAACAGTCTTGGGGAGGTCCCTGTGGATCCCTCCACACCCCTACTCTGGGGAGCGTCAAGGGGAGAAAGGGGACCCAAGGGGATGGGGCTGGGGGAGGCGTGGAATGCTAGGGGGCGAGCCAGGGCTGTACCCACAGGGTTGAGGTTGGCCCTCCCCAGAGGTGGGCTGGTCAAGGGGGCCCTTGTTTTGATCCAGGGGCTGTTTTCCTGAGTTCTCAGTGACTTAAATGAGGGTCCCAAAAGGTTAAATCCATGTGGCCAATATCAACATCTGCCAGGCCCCAGGGACCCTCAGAGCAGCCCCTAATGCTAAGGGGAGTGTGTGTGTGTGTGTGTGTGTGCGCGCGTGCGCGCGCACGCACGCACATGCACACTGTGTGGTGGTGACAAGGGGGCTTTGAGAGCCCACTGCTGCATTTTGCTTTAGGACACACCTGGATGGATGATTCCACCTGTCCCTTAGGGAAGAGAGCTTTGGAGACACATTCCTCCCTTCTGCCACCCCCTCTCCCAGTCACAGCCCTCAAGCGTGGAGGGTTCCAGGGCGCGTGGAGGGGTGCTGGGTAGGGCAGAAGGGCTAAGCAGTAACACTGGTGGCACTAAGCTAACCAGCTGAGTGACTCTGGGCAGGAGACTTAAGCCATTCCTTATTAGTTAAATCAGGATCTGATAATCTTATCTCTTTAATTGTTAGAGGACTAAATCAGATAATATATTTAAAATGTTTTGCACATGGTAAGAGCTCAATAAAAGAAGTGTTAATTGGGCCCTAACTCCGTTGCCCTGGGGCATCTGAGCAGGAACTTCTGCAAACCCTTGAAATCACACCAGTATCATCTGGTTCCAGCATACTGGTCTCCAAAGTGGGCAGAGTAGAGAAGGCTGCCAGGGGAGGGCTCCGAAATGGACACAGTGAAGCAGTGAAAAGAGGCAGGGGGACAAATGGGACAGGTGTGCCCAGAAGCCAGGAGCGGTGGGCAGCTAGCTCCCGCCACCTATACTGAGGCAAGCCTCAGGCTGGCTGGGTTCCAGAAAACAGGAAGACATGTAGGGTGTAATGTAAGGTGAGGAGCCTGGTTTCTTGTCCCACAAGGAAGCCTGGGTCCTTCCCAACTGGGTGATGGGAGGGATGACTTAGAAATGGTTCCAATAAAAGCCCATGTAGAACCCGAGAGTCAGTCAGAATGCATGGCACCCTAAGGAGGCAGGGCACCCTGGGCTGGTTTCCTGGTCCTTCTGCTGTCTTTTCAGAACCTTTTCCCTGGGCCCCCGCAGCTCCATCCCAGTTCCCCTCACTCTTTTCAGCATGGCCCACTCTGTCCCCAGCTTCTAGTGGATGTTTGGCCATAGGAGCCCAAGGCTCCCTTCCTTAGCAGCGCCCAGAAGAGCTCCCCTTGAATGCAAAACATTAAGGGTTAACTTTGGCATGTCCCTAAACCCACCCCAGGCACAGGACCCCTGGTGGGAAAAAAGCGCTGCACACTTGACCTCTCCCCACAGCTCCTCAAGGTCCAGACCCAACGATACACCAAAGCCCCTGGCCTGGGTCAGAAACAGACGCAGGGCTTAAATCAGACACAGGGTTTGGAGGCAGTCCCGCCTCTCCACGCCTCCCAAAGGGGCTAGGATTGACCGTGTGGTAGATGAATAAAGAAGAAAATTAAGCAAAGCACTGGGTTTCCTCAGGGAATTGGGGGAGGCATGAAGCTGACCCCCGATGGCCCGCCATGTGCTGAGGGGACCTGGCCAGCCTGGGTCTCCACAGCCTCTCTTGGGCAAGCCCTTGTCCCACCCAGGGACACAGGAGAATGGGGGAAGGATGGGAGGAGGAAGACAGGAAGTGTGTGTGTGAAAGAGGCGGGGAAAGAGAGTCAGGTGTGACCTGTCTGAATGTACTGGCAAGGAGCCAGGAGCAGGCCCTGGAGGATGAGGAACAGAGGAGGCTCCTCTTCCCTTGGGTGGGGGCACAGGTGATGGTGGAACAGGCCTGGGTGGACTGAATCCCCAACGGCCCCTCCCCCATGAGGTGACAGGGCTGGGGTCAGCCATGAACCTGCAGCCTACTGACTCTGTGGGAGGGCCTCTACCCACAGCAGGCTATTTATCCATCCCTAGTCAATTCTCTCTTTAGAGTATTTTCTTTCCAACATTCAACCCCAAAGCCAAGCCCACAGATGCTGGCCCCAAGGACCCCTCTTCGCAGCTCCTTTCAGTATCATCCACTGGCCCTGAGCCCTCAGCTGGACCCACTGCAGCTCATTCTCTGGTCCTGCCCTCATTCCACACCCTCCTCATCTCCCACTGCAGTTCCTCCTTTTCCAGGGTAAGGTCCTGACTCCATGGTTTCCAGGGTCCTAGTCCCATTGAAGTTGGCTATCTAGATCCCTCTCCATCCCGCCCACGTGCAGAACAAGCCCAAGTATCCCAAACTTCCAGAGAAGTCAGACATTTGTACCAAGACCCCCTCCCTCCAGCCTCAGCTCCTGAGCAATAGCAATTATGGCCAAGCCCAGGGGTTGAGGTCAGGACACCAGGTCTCTGGTGAGCCCTCTGAGGGCACGCTGTGTGGCCCTGGGTAGCCTTTCCCCTCGATGGCCTTCTACTTCCCTTTTGGTTATACGCCTCTCGAAGAACAGCCTGTCCCAGGCTCTCTGATTGAGCACTCACAGGCTGACAGGATCCCCTGGAGGTGAGGCAGTGGCATCGACAGACGCCATCTCCAAGTTCCTGGGGTCAGGGTCTCAGAAGTCTTGGCCAAAGGGCCCAACAAACAATAAGCTTTCTGGAGTCCCCCACTCTCCTCTGGTCACCTATGTCCCTTGGGGATGCTTCCTGCAAGATCCCATGTTGTACTGTTTGTGGGGTAAGGTTGTCTGTCCTGTCCACCAGGTTGTTAAGCTCTCTGGGGACAGAGGCCTGCCCTGTTTATTTCTTGCCCTAGTGTCCAGCACAGGCAGGGGACATTTATGGACATTCCCCACTTACGTCTATTCCAGGAGGAAATGGCAAAATGATACTGGGAAAATCTCATGACCCAGGTTGGAGGGAAATGGCTCCTATATCTGGCCCCCTTCAGAGCCCTCAGGCCACGCTGCTTCTCCTTACCTCCACTGAGCAGCTCCACTTCCTCCTCTGACCACTCAGGACTCCCCTAACCAGCAAACGGGGTCTGCCTAATCTTGGCAAGATACTGCCTCTGCACACCAAGAGAGGTTTGTCGTCGGGCTCTGCAGACACACCCTGCAGACGGTCCCAGCCCTGTCCCCATTGGCCTCAGCAGGCTCCCATGCTGGTGACCCCTGCAAGTGATCGTGCTGGTGCCTGGGCAGCTCTGCCTTCTGAACCGGTCAAGCTGGGCGTGCCTGGGCCTGCTGACCCTGCACTGTGTTCTTCTGGGCTTCAGGGGTCCACGTGGGAGCCCTTCCTCTGGGGTGCTTGGGGCTTGCCTCTGCACAGACCTCCTCGTGTGCAATTTCTCCACACCCACCACAACCTTGGTCATGTTTGTGCTGCCCAGATGATGCTTGTGTATGGTGGGCACCTGCTTCCCATCCTTAACTTCCCGGGCAAATGCCATGAATAACCACAGGTTTTGTCTCCACTCACCCTCTCCTTGGCTCCAGGAGCCCCCAATCATCATCCCGTCCCATCCTGTGCCAGTTACCTTGTCCCAATCCACCACTTTTAACTTTGGTTCCATTGCCTGGTCTGTCTTCTGAGTGATGGCAGAGGCTGAAGTCTCATTTTCCATGGAGCTCTGGAGAGAGATGAGAGGTAATTATTTACAGTGGGTAAGGGCAGAGAATCGCAAGCCACCCCGTAAGGAGGCAGCCAGGAGTGGTGAGAGCCCTATGTTGGGCAGGGTGGGCAAAGGTCAAGGACACTGAGTACATTTGAAGACAGGTAGCTACTGTTGTGGAATGTATTATTCGCTGCATTTTTCTTCTCCCTTAAAAAAAATTCTGCAAAAACATGAAGCAGAAAGATCTGGGAGAAAAAATAAGCTGGCAAAGAGACTGTAGAAAAATGAGTTATTAGCAGGAATGCTCTGGGCAAGAAGGTCCCTGCCAGCTTCCCTCCAGGTCCCTAGCAGGTGTCAGGCAGAGGGAGTCACAGGGAGTCACCTGGCGGACTCACTGTGCCACACCTGATGACTACCCCACCCCCTCCCTCCCTGGTAATTCCACAGAGCCCATGGGTCACAGGCTGGGCCGCCTAGGTCCATGTGCCCGCAAGAAAAGCAGCACAGAAGGAGGGAGACAGTCCCTCCAGGAGCTCCCAGGTCAGCAGCCACACATAGGGTGAAACTGTCAGAGGAGTGCCCAAATGGGCTCAAGGTTAAATGCAGCAGCAAAGAGGCAAAGTCAGAAGAAAATGGAATGTGCTGGGGAAAATCACGTGGCCTCACACGGGGTGAGGCTGGAGAGGGCAGGCTGGCACGTAGGTAAAACTCACGCTTCCTCCTCACAGGAAGAGTGGGTAGAGCACTTGCCAACGGTGGGGGTGGGGGTGGGGAGTGGTGGCTGCCTTCTGAGTCCCTGTGACTAAAGGACACGGTGGTGCTGGTGGGGCCTTGGAAGCTGGGTATCAGCAAGAACTCAAGAAGATTTTTCGAGCAGCCAGTTGGGGTTTCCATTGTCACAATTCTTACATTTTTGCTTCCAAATGAACCAAGAGAAAATGACGGTGAAAATGACTGTGATGCTGGCATTTTCTGGGACAAGCCATGTGTAACCCAAATAAAAGCGGGCTTTCATGGTCCTGTCTTGGTCTGAGTATCTCAGTATTTTTAGTGTGTCACCATGCTAATACCTTCATTGTTTAAAAAAGCATCTCTGGGAGCATTTTCTCAATCCATTGAGATTTTGCTTCCTGGCAATTGTCATCAGTTTGGTTCAAATAAACTCTTATAAGCCTTCTCTTAGGCTGGATGTTTTTCGTCGACACTTCTATTTTTCTACCCCCGCGAGTGAGTAGCTACAGCAAAGAAGGGGGAAGTAGGAATTAGTAGAGGGCAGAGGTTAGGGTAAAACACCATGGAACCAGCCAAGGCCCACCATGCACTGTCCTCACAGGCAGTTGGGCCATTTCCCTACCTGGGGCCAGAAGATGGCCAGGTTGCTATTTGAAGAGATGAGGAAACTGCTTTCCCAAACTACCCTGAAATAGGGTGGGGTGGGGACCCACACAGCTGGGCTCAGGAGCAAATAGTGCTGAGGATCTGGACCCGTGGGGGCTGAGGGTCAGGATGCCTCAGTTTTCCATTGTTGAAGGGTGTGGGGGCCCGGACTCCTGGATCTGATAAAGGAGGGACTGGCGGCCTAGACTCCAGAGTCTGAGGGAGGAGGGGCTGGGGGCTGGATTCCCAGGTCAGAGGAAAGAGAGAGAGGACTCAGGTTTCTCTAATCTGTACAGACTCAGAAGGTGGGCCCAGGTTCCATTAGCAAGGCCCTCCACTCCCCACCACTTTCTCGGGCTGCCTTGGGTGAGCCAAGATATAATAAATAAATAAATAAATAAATAAATAGATAGATAGATAGATAAATAAATAAAATAAAAACAAAAAAGCATCTCTGATGATCTCTTAAGGACAAAGAAGAGTGGACTTTATAGCATATCATATAATCAAACTCCCGACGTATCCAATATAAATGTCATATAATAATCTTGCCCCTTCTAATTCTGTTCTACCCTCACAATACCCTAGAGTGTCCCCACTCACCAAGCTATTGACTCTCCCTCTCTTCTGGATAGTTATTTTCTCCTGGTCACCTCAAGTCCTCTCTTAAGCAGGGTGAGCCGGTCCTTCTCTGAACCCCCAAACCCACTCAACGCAACTCCATCGTCTCTCTCAATAAAACAAAAGGCACATCTTGGGGTCTGCCATCCCAAGTAGGGAAGGGGTTATCACATGCATTATCATTTAATAGTTTTGTCTGTGCTACACTTTTGAGGAATCACTGAGGGGCAGACACAGATCTGTTTTAGGACACATCTACCTAAACAACCATTGGAAGCAAGAGAAAAGGTCATTGCCTCTGGCACTGGGGCACAAAGCACCCATCCATTGGGCCCGGGCTTCTGCTCACTCCAGCCTGGACTGTCTTCTGAGAGCTCCAATCCTTGGAAAAGTCGCCCTTCCACTCACTGGCTGCCTCAGGTTTCCAGGGGTCACTCCTGGTTCCTTCCCTCTAGGACTGCATAGGCTCTTTCTTTTTCACCTGGCAGGCTTATACAGATTTGAGGACAGCCAGTACCCCACCCCCTGCCATCTGCTTTTCCCCAAGACCCTCTTAGGACCTAACAGGGTATCTAAGCATAACGGTTGGTCCATGCTCCTCTTCCAAAGCAGGTCTGATGGGACCAGTACAGAAGCCAGCAGGATTCACACCTTCTTCATATGAAACATCGTATTTCAGGTTATGAGAACTGAGCTCCCATCGGCCCTTTTGGCGGCCACAATACAAGGCTCATTCACTTAGCCTACGACCACTTGAACTTATTTCATGAACTACTACTGCTGCTGGCATAGTGTGAAGAGCTCATGTGGTCCAGGGGGTGATGTGGACTGGCAGACCTATTCACTGGAGGGCCCCAAAAGATGCGTGAGGAAGACTGGGGCCCCCAGAGCAGTGATGAATGGGAAAGCCGTAGGCAGTGGAAAGCAGAGGAAGCCTGAGAAATGGGGTCGTCAAGGGGAGTTTGCAGGGACAGGAAGCCCTGGCTCCATATCAACCTCTTCTTCAGGGGCTGGCGGTCTCAGTGAAGAGGCCGCCTGCTCTTCCCTCAATTCTACCCTCCTACAAGGATCTCATCCATAGCCACTGCCTTCATCCACTCATCCAGACACACACATGTGAACATCTGCAATGTGCCAGAGCATCAGCTTAGCAGACTCTCCCACATCTCTCTCTCTCTGTCCACATCATAGTCTGACCCAAAGGCCCTGCTGTGACTTCTGACACCACATTCCTAAAAGTGAACATATTGTCCTTTGCAAATCACCTTATCCCTATATTTAAAGTCTTTCCCCTGTATTTCCAAACGCCTCTCCTATTATGCCCCTGGATTAACCCTGATGTTTCCCTCTAGCTGGTAGGGATGATTTATGTCACCCTGTCCAGGATAATGACAGAGGTTAATATTCATGGACATTTATTATGTGCCCAGCCCTTTAATCTTCATAACAACTGTATGAAGAAGGCATGATTATCATTCCCACTTGACAGATGAGGGGACCTCGACACAGGGCGCTCCCACAGCTAGTGAGAGGTGGAGTCAGCAGCTGGACTCCAGAACAGTCTCTCTTTTTTTTTTTTTTAATTGGGGAACAGTGTGTTTTTCCAGGACCCATCAGCTCCAAGTCAAGTAGTTGTCTCAATCCAGTTGTGGAAGGCGCAGCTCAGCGGCCCATGTGGGGATCAAACCGGAAACCTTGGAGCTATGAGCACTGCGCTCTAACCAGCTGAGCTAACCAGATGCCCCCAGAACAGTCTCTTCATCACCATGCACTTCTTCCCTAACCATTCTAGCCAGCAATGATCTCTTCATTTTCTAACTTTTAGAAAATCATACTTCCCATGTGTCCCATGGCCTCAGTTGGTATTTATAACTTCCTGCCTCTTGTTGTCTTTGTATGTTTGGGAAATTATCTTACTGGTCCAATGGTGTTACAGATTCCAATAGGGCAGTAACCATTTTTTCCTTATCTCAGGGAGCCTAGGAGGGCTGTCGATACTATGAGATGCTCCACTTACAGTTTCTGAGTGGACCATGTTTCCATGCTGGTTCTCTGCAGAATAGCCAAGGTGCCCTGAGACTCCTGCAGGGCTGTGGGCTTGGCTCTGGGGATGGAGCTCTGAAGCTCTGCAGGGCACATGGTCCTTGGAAATGTAAAACAAATGGAGTGGGCATGCCTGCTTAGATGAGAAAGGTGGCCCAGGACACTGGACACACCATCTTAGAATGGTCACTCTGGGCTGAACAGGACAGTGCCCAGATACAAGGGTCAAAATTCCAATAATTTGGGCCATATAGTCTCAGTGCCCTTTGACCAATATACTGGATCAGCACAAGAAGAACTACAAGTCCATGAGACTGATACAAGATTGCTTGCATTTTATTTTGCCAAATAAAAAATTTTTTAAATCACCATCCACAGCATTTCATAAAGGAGAGGAAATTTCAATACCAAATAGGTAAGAAAATGCATACTTTCATAGTAAAAGTCAGTTCTTCCCAAGGAAGGGCAGTTGGCAACTTGACACTGACATTAAAAAAAAAAAAAAAGGTTCTATTTAAAAATATTTAGGGCCGGCCAAGTGGCTCAGCTGGCTAAGAGCTCACTCAAGAGTGCGAGCTCTGAGCAACAGGGTTGCCAGTTCAATTCCCAGCCCGAGCTGAGCTGCCACTGAGCTGCCAACAGGCTCAGCTAAAAAATAAATAAAAAATAAAAAAATAAAAATATTTATTAATGTAGAAAAATTACAACCTAAAATTTTAGTTTTGTGAGCATGAATTGCACGTAATTGTTTTCTTGGTTCAAGGTGGCTGGTGTGGGGGCCCTCTGATTTACAGGTAACAGGAAGAAGATCAAATATGCACTTTTTTCCAGTTCCAAGGCTTTACTTTAAAAATTACTAAAAATCCAGTTTTACACAGTGATATTGGCTAAAAATGGAAACAGCACTTTTAAGGTTTTTTTTGTTGTTCAACTGGAAATAGTCCGGGTGAAGTGAGAGAAGTGGAGGAGCCCCA